TGTGGAACCCCACTGGAGACCTCCCTCCAATCTGACATCATCCCATTAATAGTTACTCTTTGTTTGCGGTTCTTTAACCAATGATGTATCCACTTAATGATAGTTCTGCCAAACCCGCATTTCTCCAGCTTACCTATCAGAATGTCATGTGGGATTGAATCAAAAGCCTTGCTGAAGTCCATGTACATAAATTATGTCCACCGCATTCCTCCTATCCCCCAAACCTGGCTGTTGGACCAGGTAGCAAGTTACCAGGATGGCTCCCATCCACCTCCTCCCACTTATGTGTAGCCAGGAGATTCTGACAACTTCATCTGGATGAGGATTTTGCAATTGCCATCTATGCCCTTGTCACAATGATGCAGTGTGCTCTATATTTTAAATCTATCTGGAAACCGAATCTGACATAAAAGTCGACCACCTGTTTGTGAAGTATCTCACAGTGGGATCTGCCTGTGTGAGACACTTGTCTTCTCTCTGGAGATATTCCGCCATGGGGCAGTCAGCAGAGGGGCTTGAGCTAGAGTCTCCTAGATATAAATGAGAGGGATTTGCTGACAGGACATTCTCCGTGAGGGGCTGACACACAGCAGTGGTTCACTGCTCTATGGCAGCAACACCTGTCAGGCCTGACATACACACTACACCTAACATACTGTTGCTATGATATATACCCCAAATGATACAATGTAATGTACCACTGGAAAACTCACACTCACTGATCATTAATATTAGTGTGTGGTGTATGTACAGGTAACATGCAAAATTACAAATGTGCTGGAACTATGTTCTTAAAATGGCGGGCAGGCAGGTCATAGGGTACCCCAACCTAGACAAAGGAATGTGGTTCCGCCAGCTTGAATGAATCTCCAAGATAAATCAAGAGATATTGGAAATGTTTTTACATAAACAAAGTCATCAAGCTAACCAAGAGAGGCACCAGCATGTATCAACTGATTGTATACAATATGACTGTATTATACAAGTGTATTGAATAAAATCTCTTATGAAAGCCTGTGACACACTGGTGACTAATATTAAATCTTAAAGCGTATTTCTACTTTTGTTTGTTTGTAACCCTATCTTTATTCCCTATACCTGGTATCAGTTAAGCCTTTTGTTTAATAAACTTATTTTTTTAATCTAAACCAGCTCAGTACTGTGATTGAAATGAGTGTTTGTTGATTAATGAGCTGCTGTTTCTGTCTCTTTAAAGGAGCTGCACATTTAATAACTGTGAATAATTTGGACAATTGTAATGTCAAGTTTGAACTGAACAAAAGTATTGTCAATGTTTTAGGCCTCAAACTTCCGCAAGTTTCACAAAGCGAACCTTGTAAAATTAGCTTTAAAAAGCAAGCGTTGCCAAAGGAAACAGACTTGTGGTCAAAACACGCTGCAACCAAATAATACAAGATGCTGACTCCCACAAAGTGAGATAAGTTGTACCCCCTGGTTACATTAACCACATTTAAAACAATAAATTATACAGTCAAAGCGACACAAGGAGATAAGTAAGCATAAATTATACAGGCAAAGAGACAGCACAGACCACACTGAGAATTTGGCCTACTCTGATTGGTCAGTCACGGCCCAACAGACAAAATAAAAAAACGAAGGCACAGGACTGTGTGTGTGTTGATCATAAGGGAAACCTGACCCACACCCCCTGAACCGAAGGGACGTGCACTTCTCAACTGTCTGTACCTGGCCAGTGTGGAAAATGGCCGTCTGAAGGGTAACTATTTTCAGACGAATGCAGGGTAAGTTTATGGAGTAAAGAAGTCTAGTTGCTCGAGCTGAATTGATCTCAAGTCTGTATTGATACTATAGTGTTAAGAATAGTAGTAAATAGCTGATGAATAATAACTTTACATGTACTTGTCTTCAGTATAACTTGCCATTTATATTAATCCTTATTCAGTGTTGGTCTTTATTCTTGCTTTTCTTATTTTGTCTGTGTTGCCTTTATAGTCGAAAGTCATTAAAAACCTTTTTTGAGGAATAATCAGTAGTTTTAAATTTTCTTATACGGGCACTACTCAACCTCATTGCCACTTCCCACCACCCAACACAGATGTAATCACCCAGGGCACAACTAGGGCCCTGATGCGTGTCCCCCTCTTCCTTCATCTCCGCAATAACGTCTGTGTTCCAGGAGATGGCTCCAGAGGGAGAGTTTTGTGGAAATTTTGGACCAGATGGGGTATGGGGGGTCATTCTGCAAAAACACGAACTGGGCAGTGGAAGCCAGGGTATGACCTGCATGCTTGTCTGCTGGCTAGTGATGAATAGGTGGTGAAACATAGCAGCATAGCATTTAAGACACCCAGAGTTGCAGAGCAGGGGGTGATACAACCCCTTACTGGTCTGGGTTGAACCCCAAAATGTCACAGGGTGTCAACTTTGGACCTAAAAAAACCTATATACTCCTCTTCTTGAAACCTTGTCCTGCCTTGGCTTGTGATTGTCCTCCCTGGCTCTTCTCTCTAATCCAGGGGTGGCCAACCTGTGGCTCCGGAGCCACATGCGGCTCTTCAGAAGTTAACATGCGGCTCCTTGTACAGGCACCGACTCTGGGGCTGGAGCTACAGGCGCCAACTTTCCAATGTGCGGGGGTTGCTCACTGCTCAACCCTTGGCTCTGCCACGGGGTTGGCCCTGCCGCCACTCCTCCCCTTCCCACCCCCTCCCCTGAGCCTGCCGTGCCCTCGTTTCTCCCCCACCTCCCCCGCCATCAGGAGGTGCCGGGAGAGAGGGGGAGGTGCTGCCGGCAGGGGGGGAGGCGCTGGGGGGGGGTGGGAGCTGAT